TGTTCTCAAATACGTTAGTGAATGTTTGATTGAGTAACTCCTTCAGTTTCACAATATGTTGGGCACTAGACATGTGGTCAATACATCATCAACACTAACAAATATTCCAAAGAATTTATTGTATTGTGTGAACAAACAATGATCTTGTGAGGGTCGTTCCATCCCAAGTTATAGTAACTTTTTAGATGACCAACTTCCATTCTAGAGATACTTGATTTGATCCATACAATACTTGAGAAAGTATAAAATATCCCCTTTCTAGCATTTGTCTAGATGAGCAACTTTCATTCTAGGGATACTTGATTTGATCCATATAAAACTTGAGTAAATATAAAATAGCCCCTTTCTAGCCTTTGTATATCCTCATGGGGGTTCAAAAATTCCTTTCTTAGTTCGATCCATGCATGAATGAATTATTCACGTAAGTTTCCAAGTATCTCTCTATAGCTATAGCAATAAACATTTTTACTATATCATTGCTGCTGGAGGAAATACATCGAAATAGTTTTTTCGTTCATTCCATTCTACCAGTTTAACCTTACATCTCTCTATTAATCCGTTAGTCTTTTCTTAATATTATGCACCAGCTTTATCCATATGACATTCTACTGGCCTTGATATTGGCAGGAAGTGATTGAAACTTTAGCATGGACTCATGAACGCACACCTTTGGCCAATTTGAATGACTTTGCTAAGACCTTTATTTTTAGCGACAACAGCTCAAGTCTGTCACTGCGATTCCCTTTGTGAGGAGACACTTCTTCTCTCGAAGTTATGGGGCTATTCTGCTGAGTTCCTTAGAGAGATTGTCTTGCACCCCTAGGTATTCTCTACCTACCCACTTGTGTCGGTTTTGGGTACAAATACCCTTTCGTTTAAAGGTCGTTAGGAGTTGATCATGCTCTGGAAGCACATGAGAACTTTTTTTTTTGTTGATATAATTACTTGTATTCGATATTAGGTCATTCATAGCATTACTATACATTTCCTATTCATTGCGTGTTTGGTTATTCGTTAGTACTATCTTAGCTTCTGATCCAAAGAGGAAAAAAAACCATGGAACCAAAGAAAGAGACTTGTCAGTCCATCTTCGATATTAGGTCATTCATAGCATTACTATACATTTCCTATTCGTTGCGGGTTTGGTTATTCGTTAGTACTATCTTAGCTTCTGATCCAAAGAGAAAAAAAGACCGTGGAACCAAAGAAAGAGACTTGTCAGTCCATCTCCCAAGAACTAGCTAGTATTTCGATTAGTCGTCAAATGTGGAAATGGGCACTCTCTCTTCGACTTACTATTACATTAGCGTTGATTGGTTTCATTATCATAAAGCAGCCCCGTAATTATCTTGGTTTCAAGATGTAAATCTATGTTGGATCACCATTTAGCGGGGGGTTACTAGGACGTGGATTTCTCTATCAGTTGCATGTATCTTTTTCTATTAACCAATCTTTTTCTCAATCTCATGAACAAGATCCAAGAATAACAATAGTTAATCCATAATAGTGAGAAAATGGGATATAGTAGTTCCTGCTCTATGGTTTCTCCCTCTGGACCCCTTACCCCACCAATTCACTATTACCAACTAGGTAATAGCTCTTATGCCACTCGTTCGCTCCATACTTGAGGATAGGTCGCTCACTGCTATGTTCTCTCCTTGGGGGAAGAGAAACATTTAGGTTTCATCGTACCCTAGCTTTCATCGTAATTATGAGTGAAGCTAGTATTTGGATTTTAAATCCCCTAAGTTGGTAATAGCTCTATGCGACTAGTTCGCTTCATACTTAAGGATATGCCGCTCACTGCCATGTCCTCTTGTTTGGGGGAAGAGAAACATTTAGGTTTCATCGTACCCTAGCTTTCACCATAATAATGAGCCAAGCTAGTATTTGGATTTTAAATCCCGATCTCATTCCATATTTAAATCTCGATCTCATTCTGAATTTTAAGCAGAAAGGAGGACTATGTTGAGCGGGGGTATGGATGCCCCTGCTTCTATGTAGGATTAGAAACGTCCTCGAGTTACTCAACGTGGTATACCTTGAAGAATTAATTTGTCTTAAGTCGATCTAGTCCATAATGCTTATAGAAATTGCTCCTTCTCTGGATCGAATCTCGTCAATCTACTTGTTTCATCTCTCTTTGGTCGAGCATATTTTCTCTTCTACCGTTGGTCGAGCTACTTTGTGCCTCTAACTGGTCACTAGCCAAATCTCTCTTTCTTTTATGACTTACCAACTTTATTCTAGGGATTGAGGGCTGAAATGTGCGTAATGATAAGGGTCTTGGCGTTCCGACTTTTATCGTTGCAGCATTATATGCAACTAGGCTCGTGTTCATCTGGTGATTCTTCAACATCAGTCGACCTAACATGCTAACATTATTTTCCTGCAATCAAACGACGAAAGGCCCCTACTGAAGATAGGTTGTCAAACTGTGACGAGAAGAAATATTATATTTTTAACATCGCGAGACTGGACTCGAGAGCCTAACCTGAACTACTAACGTCTTTTTCTACTCATTGGTTGGTTTTCAATTCTTTTAGAAGCAACCTTTCTCTCTTTTTGGTCGAGACCTCGTACCCACCTTCTTGTGATCGAAATAACATTCAGCTTCTAATTCATAGCCTTAACCCTTTCTCATCATTTTTACCTCATAACTTGTAGGTTCTTCTTTTAGCCACATGATCAGCAAAAATGATTTTAGTGCCTCGTGACTACAAAATTCAAGTTTGAATCAATAGTACAAAATTTAATCCTTCATCCATAGGTTTATTTGGTGTTGCCTTGTCATCCTTAGTGGATTCCTCGACTTGCAATAAACTTTTTTTAACTTCAAATTAAATAATAGATACCCTTTGCTTTTACGAGAATATTCTATGAATGCAAATTTGTGAGATTTGCATTATTATTCATCTGACAAGACACATATTTACTGCATATACCAGATAACCAAAAGGCCCAAGTCTATGACAGTTAGCATCTTGTGATATCTATGTCAAACAGTATACCCTAGTTGAATGTAATATTGGGCACCATCGATTGATAATATATGTGAGAATACACAGAGCCAAAGAATTAATCCTCCTAATTGAATGATCTAGCCATCTCCAAAATTTATTTATGCTTCATTTGAATCGCACCATTCTATGGTTGTGGTATAATGGAACCCTCAAGATTTTAGGCTCATATGCCAGACAAATTTTGGTGCTCTTATTTTTATGACAAACTCATTTTAGCATGTCGGTACTCCATAAGACCTTAGACAAATTGGAGCACGATAACTCAAGCAGTTTCTCCCCTAGTCGTGTTGGCTGAAAGAACCAATATAACAGGCCACTTCCTCGAGGTGGAGTATACATTGATTACTCAGAGTTTTCATAAAATGCTACGAAATCGTACACTGTTTACATTCATCTAGACTAGAAGACTGTTATCATATCATGCGCCATTTTAAATTCTTCGAGAGATGATATATCCACATTTATGGCAATGACTCAGCCATGGATGTATTAGTTAGTCAACAATAACGCGAACACGACAATGCCTTGGATCACCGAGCGAAGGAGTTCCAATCTTCCGGCATAGGAAAGAGTATGCCCATTCCACCGACGACGTTTCCCTTCAATTTGCTCAATCATATCATCGAAAAGCCTACCGGTGATTCGGTCCGCGGAGATGTCTCAGTCAAGGAAATCAAACGTTGGAAACAGGCCAAGTCCCTTCTCTTTGACTGGGCGCCTAGTCCCTTTACCGTTCTGCGCCATTACTGCTTTCTAACTTGATTTCTAGCAGTTGATGCTTGGGAATAAGAGAACTTTCTCTTACATGTATTCACTCATCCCCTCTCAATGGCAAGAATGAGTAGATAACAGAAGTTCTTTCATTCTTGGGATATTAGTGAAGTGCCCATTAGGGGTGTTCTCACTTGTGCTATCAATAAAAAGGAGCCATTTCCCGGGTAGGCTAATCCAGAAAGAGAGAGATAGAATATTAAAAGGCTACGCACCTTGGTCCAGAGCGAGGATTGGGATAAGTTGAACCCGTTCTCTTTAGTCCATCCTGACACTGAATATGACGGGGGTATATATTAACATATATATGTAGATATATTGTGTATCACGAAGAAAAATGCGGATATAGTCGAATGGTAAAATTTCTCTTTGCCAAGGAGAAGGTGCGGGTTCAATTCCCGCTATCCGCCCAAGATCAAGATAAATAATACTTGGAATAAGCTAAAGGATTGGATATAGTTGGTCGTGATAGTGTAGTCCGTCTATCCCCTCTTTTTTCCCTTTCCTATCCCCCAGGGTGAGTAATTAAGAATACCTTATTTCCTAGATACTAATTTCTTATCGGACTAAGAGCATAGAAAACTAATTGGGAAGTGTGAAAAAGGATTTGTGGGAATCCGAGGGGAAGACTTCACTATATATATTAATAGATAGGATGAAATCCTCTTTCATTCTCAATAAAATCTTTTTTCTAATGATTTTTTATAATGATAAGGGGTAGTTTTTTTCTCTTTGTGTCCAACAAAAAAAGATAACTTCTCGCCTAGAAAGAATTTTTTCGTAAAATCTCATCTAATAACTACCTAATAACAAGTACTAAATTAAGGTTCTATTTCAACGCGGAAGGAAAAAGCAATCTACAGGATGGGTCGAAAGGTTTGTGATACTTCACTTGAGTTGAGTCAGAGAAACGACAGGATATAGAAAGAATATACCAACCCTAAGGATCCATTGGTTGAATTATGAATCCAATACAAGAATAGAAGCGTTTGCACCTGAAACTTTTATTTCAAATCTTCTATATTCTAAAGATCTAAAGATATAGTTATTTATCCGAAATCTCTACAATAGAATCTCTGTCTTCGGCTCAATCCTTTTAGTAAAAGATTGGGCCGAGCTTAATTGCAATTCAATTAAGAGAAGGGGGATTAATTAATTGTTATCTTACTTATCCAAAGTATCTACTGCCTTAAACTCAAATTTGATCTATTTCCATACTTCACAAGCGACAGCTAATTCAGGACTCCACTTGCTAACCTCGCAGATAATAACATTACCCTCAGCAGAAAGATCACGTCCTTCATTACGAGCTTGTACACATGCTTCTAGAGCGACTCGGTTAGCTACGGCACCTGGCGCATTACCCCAAGGGTGTCCTAAAGTTCCTATGCCGAACTGTAGTACGGAATCATCCCCAAAGATCTCGGTCAGAGCAGACATATGCCAAACGTGAATACCCCCTGAAGCCACAGGAATAACACCTGGTAGAGAGACCCAATCTTGAGTGAAATAAATACAGCTGTCTTCGATCTTTTTCAATAAAATCATCACGCAGTAAATCAACAAAGCCCAAAGTGATGTCTTTTTCTCCTTCAAGTTTACCTACTACAGTACCAGAGTGAATATGATCTCCACCAGACATACGTAACGCTTTAGCTAGTACACGGAAGTGTATAAGATAGTTTTTCTGTCTATCAATAACTACATGCATTGCACGGTGAATGTGAAGAAGTAGTCCATAGGATGAAATCCTCTTTCATTCTCAATAAAATCTTTTTTCTAATGATTTTTTATAATGATAAGGGGTAGTTTTTTCTATGTCTGTGTCAAACAAAAAAAAAAGATTAGTTACCTTCAGTTTTCGCAACTCAATCATAGATGATGGAATCATCAAAGATTTGACCCTTTCGTATCTTTCAGAAAGTAGGCTTAAGTACATATGGTCAGGTCAATAGTAGTTATGCTATTGTCTTACTGTTGGCCTCTGCCCGATCCCGAACGCGGGTGGGATTCTTGTAAACCGTGTTACAACACGCAATAGGTCGAAAGTCTGTGACTTGTGAGGAGTGGGAGGACTTCGGAATAAGCGTGAGGGTCGTATGGTTCCATTGATTGAAAGCCTTCAGGGAACAAGTAAAGAGGGGGTTACTAATGAGGCTTAGCCATACGAGACAAAGGTATAAGGGAGGCTTTTTTTGAGGAAGTAGTCGGATCTAAGCTAAGGAACTGAACTACTATCCTCAGCATCTCTATCGCCACCACGCGAAAAGACCGGGGAACAATCGGCGACCCCCCCGTCGACCAACTGCTCTTTTTTGCCAATCTACTTTATCTTTCTTAAGACTTTCATTGCGGGACCTATCCCCGAACAACCATTGCTTTCCTTCCGCGGTGGCCAGGGTTCCGATGCTTAGCAGGTGAGTTCTCACTCGGCAGACTGACTCGTTTCTTAGCGTGCATTCATACGGTATGGAGCCATGAGTGGTCGCAGATCCGATACTCTTCTTAGTGGGTCAAAAGGAAGTGAGCCATTTCGGTTAGTTGTTACCCCAAAAAAGCTTCCCGTAAGAATGTTCTTAGAAGAGTTCTTTAGTCTTAGCGAGAATTGTATTGAAGTTTCGGTGTCTTCGGTGCTTCCCTTGGTGTCCTTCTTGTTGCCGTCAAGTAACCGTCCGATCATACAGCTGGCGGGCCTTACACCTATCCGATATTGGGTACACTCCGCACTCCTAGCTTCGGATCCTGTTCGTTCAGAAAATAACGGTCAAAATCGGATTCAATTGTCAACTGCCCCTATCGGAAATAGGATTGACTAGCGATTCCAAAGGAACTGGAGTTACATCCCCTTTCCATTCAAGAGTTCTTATGTGTTTCCACGCACCCTTGAGACCCCCAAAAATGGACAAATTTGGTTGTCTAGATTGCGTCGTTTATTTGGATTGTTTCTAGCGGGAAAAGAAAGTCTTTGACTGAAAGAAGGCACGCACATGAACACTGGCAGAAAGTAATTTACCGACGAAGTTGTAACAACCCGTTGCTTTCTCAATGAAAGAAAATCTGTTGACTGCCGAACTGTCGTCGAAGACGAGTGGAAAGCAACTCTCAGCGCTGGATGGTACAACAATAACTAGGTTTGTTAGGTCAATTACATCGAGCCTAATCTACTTTGGGATGAATCATAGCTCTTAAAGGCCTACTCATAGTTTGTAGTCATAGCTACAATGACCTACTGAACCAGAGTGGACTTAGCCACGAATGCTCCTTAAACAAGTTTTTGGATCCGGTACTCGAGAAAGCAAAAATCCCCGTTTTCAGCAATCAAATTGGCCAAAGAATGAATTCCCTTGAATGAGATAGGTACGCTAGTGAAGGATCAACGAATTTGATCACTCACGATGGGTCGAGTGTACTAGAAGAGGGGAATCCAATGTTCAAAGTCAAGGGGCAAGGCGCAAGCCCCAGTCCACAACTAGTTGGAGTAGTTCGCCTTTATCCAAACCACCTAGACTGGAGTTTACCATTAGTGATCCTCGTTCTAAATGTTTGTTTGATTTAGTGTATATTGATTTGGGGACCATGCGATGTTTCAAATATTACCAACACTTCATATTTTCTATCTTGCTAAATGACCATAGTAGGGAAAATTGGGTCTTCTTGTTCAAACATAAGAATCAAGTATGCAACATTTTTTATGATTCTATCCAAATGATAAACACATAATTCATAATCAAAATCAAACAATTCGAAAGTGATAATGGGATTGAGTTCCTAAGTGAAGACTGCCAAAATCTCTTTGTGAAGAATGGTATTCTACACCAAACTTCATGTCCTTGTAGTTCCCAACTAAACATAGACAATGAATAGCCTACATATTCACTCTAATCTAACTTAAAATTCTGGACATACTCCATCCTACACTCTGCATACCCCATATACAAGCTTCCTTCATCAGAAATAAAGAGAAAACTCCTTATAACATCAGTTTTTGGCATAATCATCCATAAAATCCTTTGGTTGTTCAATATTTGCCACAAACCTTGATTCACATAAAACAAAACC